CAAGAACAGATGTAGAGGTGGCCCGGGAGCAATTAGAGTAGTTCCGTGTTAGTCTGTGTTTGGGAATGGAATATCACATTCCATGTCTAAAGGAGCCGTTCTGCATCGCCAGAAGTGAGTGCAATGCTCCATATAGATGGTAGTCCAACACAAGGCTTGAAGAGCTGTTTCAGCAGTCTTTGCTTCCCGCTCGCTCGTGTTTGTGTGAACACTTTCCTACCTTACACTGATGGGGGCTTGCTGCTTTACTGGGTGCCTGCCTGCCGCAGGACTCTATATATAGGCTGTGAGGTAGGGAGATAGGCAGGCATCTGTCACGACTACCTGGAGGAGGTACACAGGGCTGGCCTGCACCAGGAATGTCTTCAAGTCACATTGGCCCAGCTCACCTTGAAAGCTTTCACCTCCTTACAAACAAGAACGTACATTAAACCTGTATCACTGGGATAAAAGTCAGGAGGGAGATAGTTATCAGGTAATGGTGGCTTTAGGTTAAGGAAATGAATTTTGAGTGAGTGTTATGTTCACCTTGGATATTATTTAGCTTGCTTGAATTAAACTAAAACATTATGTCAGGGGAGAGAAACAGAAGATGACTGGCTGAATTGGGGAAGTGTATTGATTATTAACAGGTGATGATCAAAGGCTCTGATCAAAGGTACTATGCAGGTGTTTCTAAGGGAGTATTAAGTGCATTGCACCTGCCGTCGGTAAATATTGTTTATAAACCTGTAGTGGCTTGATGAAAAACTAGTTAAACAAGTAGCTTATATTTAGGGTTGATTTTCTTTCTTTTCTTCTTGAAACTTTTTCTAAATTTGGAGTAAATGGTATAGCTACCATTCAGGTACTCACTGAAGAGCACAATGTAAGGAATAGGAAAGTAGACAGCAGAAATGGGATTTGTAAGACTGTTGAAGATTGAATGAATGTTGTGTGAATACATGAATATGATGCACATGCTGAAATATGCTGGGTGTAAACATCATAATACAATGGCACTGGTTGCCTGTGTGGTTTGAAGATGGAGGCAAGGGTTGTAAGAGGTTGACATGGCCTCAAGTTCATTAGTCAAGCGTTGGCTCATCACGCCGAAGATCCGGGTTTGATTCTCGACATTGGTACAATGTGTGAAGCCTATTCCTGGTGTCCCCTGCCGTGATATTGCTGGAATATTACTAAAAGCGGCTTAAAATCAAACTCACTCACTCATTAGTCATATTGTATTCGTTTTTGTCTGAGGGCACTGAGGAACAATAAAAAGATTTGATGCAGGGTGTTTGGTAGTGCAGCAGGCAGGGATACAAGTCTGTTAATCAGTTTAACCTGGCGTTGGTCAGAAATGGGTTGTGGACTAGCTGGATTAAGTTCATAGTGTCTAACCCTGCTGCTATTATTAACAAATGGAACTAGGTTTATATTTGTTTGTTTGTTTTAACACCACACTCAGCAATACTCCAGCTATAGGCGGTCTGTAAATAATTGAATCTGGAACAGACAATCCAGCGATTAACATCATGAGCATCGGTCTACACAAATGGGATATGATGACATGCATCAACCAAGTCAGTGAGCCTGACCAACTGATCCCTTTAGTCGCCTCTTGTGACAAGCATGGGTTGCTGAAGACCAATTGTAACCCGGAATCTTCACGGGAAACTAGGTTAATAAAGACATGGTGAAGATATGTTATAATGGTACCAAAAATGTTGGTCCTTGATGTGCATGACCTCAGCTGAAGTGTCGGATACCAACATGTATTCATTGAGCAACAACAGGTAGTGTTGATATTAAAAACATACAGTGGAGAGAACTGGGACAAGTATCAACGAGAATCAATGTGAGATGGTGACAGCTGTTGCATGTTTATAACAGACAGACAATTGATTGGCATATGTGTCAAACACCAGAAACTTACATCAATATCGTTACAACTGCCCTCAAATGTGATGTGTTGTTGCACCGGACATGTTTCAGATATACTCAGGCATATTTAGATGATATTTCACTTTGGTAAATGTAAAAATAATCATGACAAGTTAACAAGTGTATAATTTTCAAACCCTTAAAAATGAGGGTTTACATACCGATGTAGAAAATAGTTTGTTGATGGATTGTACTGGATGTTACCATTCTTAAATTAATCAAACTTAAGTTTTATGATTATTTCTAGGACACTGATCTTTATCAGATATAGTTGTAGTGCTGTGACAGTTGTATCTTCTGTGCTAGAATATATTAGTGCTGAAACTGTTTGGTGTTTGGTCACAGTCATATATGACAGACTAAAGTACTCATGGAAATGAAAAAAACCTGTTTTGCTGGATTTAATAATCGACACAAAGCATTGCGTAGATGTTAGTAAATACGAAATAACAAAACAACTGGAAAAGTACTAGTCTGGATTTGCTAGTTCTATCTCAGTGCTCAATACAAAATGTACCTTACAGGAGGTAATTTGGAGGCACTTTCAACATTCAAAAATAAAACTAAGTCAAAATTGACATGGCAAAAACAGGCTATAGGCATTATGCAAATTTAGCCTGGAAAAATGTTATCAAACAACAATAAAAATAACAGCTATGTTTATGTACATAATAATAATGACATGTAAGTTGTTGTTTGAGAAGGGAATATGTTACTTTTAAGTTCTGATATTTTGACGATGATTCACTATCCCACAATGCCACTCACAAATCACTAACCACTGACAAATCACATGCACGTGGGTTTCAAGCACCTGTTTTCACCTGTCGTCAAGGTGTCATAGGTCATGGACATTCACCTTGATCTACTAACACCTGGTTATGCTCAGTTTCACAATAGTCTGTTTTGTTCATATTTTTACCCGGGGCGGTCGGGTAGCCTAGTGGTTAAAGCGTTCGCTCGTCACGCCGAAGACCCGGGTTCGATTCCCGACATGGGTACAATGTGTGAAGCCCATTTCTGGTGTCCCCCGCCGTGATATTGCTGGAATATTGCTAAAAGCGGCGTAAAACCATACTCACTCACTCACTCACTCATATTTTTACACACTTTACGTGTAAAAATACATAAAAACCTTTGATACGCTGTATTTGTGCCAAGGCCCAATTCGTACTAATTGAGTTGTTTGAATATTTATATATTTTGTATATTAACTGCATTTATTTAAAATCTGAGATCGAAAAAACAGGTTTTTTTTAATTTCCTTGAGTACTTTAGGCTATACGAGTTCTGGTCTTTGGGGTGGTTTTTAAACTGTTTTCTTAAAGAAATGTCACAGATTCTATCCAGCATGTTTGTAAATACACTAAGCCCATCCACTCCCAACAAGTGACTTCCAAGTTTCTTGTAACCTTTTGAGTAGGCAGGTTGTTAAGTGACGTATGAGTAGAGGTAAATAGTGATGGCAGCTGCTGGACACTGCAAGCTTGTTAGTCAACATGATTGATGTGTGAGACATAGAACATCTTAATGTGAGCTTTCATCAATATGCCCCAGGCTGGCTATATGATGCAGACATGTAATACCACATGCTATGTCTTAGTATGGTAGGCTATAAGTCATGTATGATCTTCAGAAATACTGATTCCATGTTGTCAGATTGATCGTGTCAAGGTTGCGACCATTACTGACATGAAATATGGCGTATGTCCACTTCTCAATAACTGTAGGTCATGTATGATCTTCGGAAATTCTTATTCCATGTTGTATCGGATTGACCATGTCAAGGTTGTGGCCATTATTGACATGAAATATGGTGTATATCCCCTTCTTGATAACTGTGAGTCAAATATCACCTCATACATGATGTTTTCATGTAGTGTCATGGTCCAACACTTTGTCAGCAACGGGTTCCGTATCAATTAAAAAATGCATGATAGGTCCAGTCAGTGTTAACCCAAGTTGTGCATGATCACTACAAATTGTTATACCGCTATTAAACATCTTTCAATTACATTGGGTAATCAGAACCATGTGACGAATCAATACATTTCATTGTTGACCACGAAATTATGACTGACGCTGACCTAAAAAATTGACTCGCCACATGATCAGTTTGACCTGTCACGTGATGAATATTGACTCGTCTGTTAGAAAGCAAAATAGTGTCTGGTACGGACATTTTACAGTTCGCAGCTAAGTTACTTTGATGAAACAGAGGACGGTTTAAAGACTTCATAAACTTAAAAGTGAATTTGGGTATGACAAAATGATAGATTACTCTTGAAGAGGTAAAGATGCAAAAGCAAGCAGCGTAAACTCTACTCCCTCACTCACTCACTCATCATGGTTACAGGTGGAATATTACTGAGTGCGACATTAAACAACAAACAAAGAAAAACACTTGTTAAGTTTCTGCTAGTCATTGTAATCACAGCAACATTCTGCTATTCTGCCAGGGATGAACAGGGTCCATATATGTGTTTCATACAGCATGGACTGATTGTGCAAGTCATGTATGCTCATGCTACTGCACTGTCAGGGTTGAACACTGTGCCAAGGCTGGGGGCACTTACAAGGCTCACTAGACTGCAGGTCCTGTTGGAGGAATGTTAATAGGATTACAACTCAGGAAATGTTTGGCAGATAATGTTGGCTCCAGTAGAATATCAGATACTTCAATATGAAGAAACCAGGTCATAAAGGGAAATAGATCTTATATGGTTATCTGTAGACTGACAATTTCTTACAGTGTTAAGGTCTTCTAATGTTAATAGCTTTGATAAGAAAATGTTTGTAAAGTGTGTGTTTTGTATGTGTTCCTGTTGATGATTTGAGTCTCATTGAGATGGCTAATCTTTAAATAGTTTACAATTGTTTCATGGTTGGGACTTTAGGTCAGTTTAAGTTAATTATTTGAAGTTAAGTGTTTTATGATTGAATGTTGTTCTTTGTCCATAATGATAATGAATTATTATGAATTGTGAATATTGAAGGACTTGTGATTGATGAATGTTTGTCTATGATGTTGATGAACATGGTGAATTATTCTGAAATATTTCTTTTCTTTTCAGACTTTCACAGCATGGTGCAACTCCCACTTGCGGAAAGCAGGAACGAATATAGAAAACATAGAGGAGGACTTTCGAAATGGTTTAAAACTTATGTTATTATTAGAAGTAATCTCCGGGGAGCAGTTACCTAAACCAGACCGAGGAAAGATGAGATTCCACAAAATAGCCAATGTGAACAAAGCTTTGGACTACATTGCCAGCAAAGGTGTTAAGTTGGTCTCAATAGGAGCTGAAGGTAAGTTGGTTCAACTGTCACCCAGATAGAAACTAAGCATGTCGCCACTGTCACACATCATCATGGTGCCTTCCTAGCCAAAATAAACCACATTGTTGGAAATGAAACTTGAAATTCAACGGCACTGGTCATAACCCCAATGTCAAAATTAATAGAAACGAAGCATGTTGCCACTGTCACACATCATCATGATGCCTTCCTTGCCAAAATAAACCACATTGTTGGAAATTAAACTTGAAATTCAAGGGGCACTGGTCATAACCCCAATGTCAAAATTCAAATTTGAGGGATCCTAGATTAATGTTATAAAGCAGCCCACGATCCCATAATTTTGAACATAGGACCAGGTGTTTTGCTGTTTTGGGGATTCTGTGGGAATATTTGGCTCTCTGCATCTTTTACCTTCAGTGCTTCAGATTGTTAGGGGTCAAGGTCATTTACCGCTGGTTAAAACAGATGAGGTTTCATTCATTTCTTGGTTTTCTGTACGGTTGTTGGAATGTGAGAGAAGTCGGGTTTTCAGTCGCCCATGTTTATCACAGGAACCAAATATGTGGTTAGTCTGCTGCCTAGCTTGTGATTGTTGATCAACCCAAATAGCGTTGACTGTTGCTCATGCTGTCAACCATTGGTCTGCCTAGCCCAGACTCAACTATATACAGACTGCTCTGACTGCCAAAATATCATCGACTGATGTTAAACAAATATGTACTCTCTTACTCACACTAGTGTTTTGACAGGGCTTGACTGGGTTACAATTTTCACTCTGATGGGCTGATTTCTTGTCATCTTTCATAATCTAGTTTGCCAAATTTTAAATAGATAGCACAAATTTAAACAAATGGACAATACTTACTAGTGATGTCTTGATAGAGACGGGCGAAGACAGTTATATCTGTTCATCATTTATCAGAACAGGTTGTGATTATGACATGAGTAATGTACTGCAATGTTCACATGTCATGGTTATCTGCATGACAATGTTTGTACGACAGCACATATCAGTTTGTCAACATGTACTTCAGATAATACAGTGGTATGACAATAATATATATCACCAGGATTTATTTGATATATCATAGATAAGGAGTTGATTGCATAGTTTTAGTACTTGCAATAGTGTAGGGTTGCTGGGATAGACTACTAATGAATGTTTGCATATAGTCAGTGTATTTTGATTTATGCTGTAGTTAGCATATATAGCACCAAATTCATGCAGCCTAATGTGAATATGTCGGAACTCGGTAAACCAGTGTTTTATATCGATGTGCAATGGTCAGATCCATTTGGGTATGTTGAAACAAGACTGGCCAGGTTCACACTGAAGTCACTCTGATCCCAGCAGGGATAATTCTAGGGTGGGGCCTATAAAATTTGAAAAAGGCCAACATTTTCAAATGGGGCATTTTAACATTGTGCTGTATGAGCGATCCCCTGGAAAATTATAAAATTTTCAAATAAAGGACCCATGTCTGAAAATTCCTAGAGTGAACCCTGTCCCAGTATAGTCTTCGACCACAACAACTCAGAGGGTTTTACCTGGACAGACAAAAGTGGGGGTCCAGGGGACCCCAATAATTATATTTAAGGGTCTTGCAGGCAATATGAGTGTCCTGTAAAGTAATGTAATGGTGGACGTTTAGGTTATTACTTTAGAGCCTGGAATGAATCAATGAACATGTGGCAGTGGGCATAATTGATGGATGAAATGACACCCATAACTGCTCTTGTTGTGCTGAAGGTACAATGGATATAATTGTGTGTCCCTCAGGACGCAGTATATTTGTTTTCCTGCATCCATTCTCTACATTTGTGAGTGCTGGACGCACAACCCTGGCTCTGGGGAACAGTTGCTAGTAAGAAGGGGAACATGGGGATCAGACGGCCACAATGGCTTCATAGCTTAGATTGGACTCATGAACAGCTCTTCCGGCAGATTTGGTGCGTCAGCATCCTCTCATTAATCCTCGGGGACACGGGTGGCCCAGTCGTCTAGTTGCGGCCCTTGGGCACGCCAGAAACCTATGATTGTGGGTTCGAATCCCGGTTCGCCCCGATTATGTTTCTAGGTTTGTCAGCACCATACCCGTGCTCGTGGGTTTCACCGAAGTGGTAAACATCTGAGACCTGCATCACTTCGGGCTTTCCTCCCACATTAAGCTAACACGCTGTGATATAACTGGAATACTGTTAAAAGCGGCGTTAAACCCAACTCACTCACTCACTCACTCACTCACTCACTCACTCACTCACTCACTCTTATTAACCCTCAGTTTGCTTGCTAAAAGCCTCATTACATTTCACTGTCAGCTTTGATATGGCAAGGGTAGATGTAGGGTAGGCTTCAGGATAGAGGTAGGGATAAGGTTAATGATAGAGGTAGGACAGGGTTAGAGATAGAGGCGGGGATAGATGTACAATGGGGCTGGGATAGGGCAGGGTTAGGTAGAGAGAAGTTTAGGGATAGAGGAAGGATATTGCTTACTGTGAGATGGATAAGAATGAAAGACCCCATAATCAAACTCCCAATATCAATGACACTGGCAACCACTTGTTTAGTGAGGAACTAATTGCTGCAAGACGAACTTCTTGAGTACAGTGGACAGAGGCTATGGGAATTGTGTAATGACAGGAAGGAATTAGTTAATTGTGTAGTTTGGCATATGCTCTGTTATCTTCCCTGTTTTATGAATAATGGTGGTTGACATTTTCTTTGAGTGTGTGAACTAGGAAGAGAGCAGTCTAACTGCTTGTGAACCTTCACAGTAACAGATATGCAAACAATGACACACTTCAACTGAAGTCTATTTTTACTTCTCTTGCTCATGTTCATTAGTCATTTAATATCATTAGCCTTTATGTTTGTAATGGAAATTATGCAGGAAGGAAAAGGTTTGTAGTGTAGATGGTGCGATGTTGTAAAGCACCTTCCTAATCATGTCAATTCATCAAGAGACGTTACAGCCTGACACAGGGAAACGAGAACCATTTAGTATTTGTGAGGTAGTTGTTGGGGACCTGTGTTTTAAATAATGTAGAGGTTCAGAATAAATATATTCCAGATTTGTCAAAAAGAAAATGGCAGAAAAGCGTAGTGCAAATGCTGTGTTATTTTGTTGGCCTGAATCTAGTGACGATTTGCAAGGATAATTCTGGTGAAATCTTATTTTCAAGTTTGACTCTATCCTTTCTGTGCAGTAAGTTATGTTTTTAAAGTCTGCCACTTTAACCTCAAGTTTGAAGCCCTAGTCTAAGACTAACACCAACTAGAATTAATGCCAAAATACCAGTTGGTGTTAGTTGACTTGAGTTTTGGCATATACTGCTGTCCATAGCCTACCAATGACTTGTGTATCTGAAAACAAAAGATGTTAAAATAGTTGATCTAAATGAAGGCTTCTCTACATAAGTTACTGATGGGGCAAGTACAACACTGACAGGATCTCAGCTCCGATCAAACCACTTAACCCAGCATCTGTTGTACTTGCGGCAACTCGCACGCAGGTCAAGTTGGGGTATTGTTTACAGACTTCAGTTACATATTGTAGTAACACTGCGGAAGCGAGAAGGCTTAAAACAGGGAAACCAGGAAATAGTGATGTTTTCATTCAACTCATTGTTAGCATGACCTTTCGTGCACAAAAATTGAAGCTGTGGGAAGGCCAGTGATGAATTTGTGCAAGCAGCGTATATGCTTGTTGTTATATTTCAAGGGAATTTGTCATAAATGTTGGTTGATGAAATACAAAACGAATTTGTTGATAATAACTTGAATCCAGCATTAGAAATTGGCACTTGTCCTATTGTCCTTGCCAAACTGCCCAATAGTAAAGGTATCCTAATGATCAGTAGATATTTGTCCTTTTTTAATGGTTTTGCAGTGTTATCATTTTAAGGACTAGTGGGCTGAACCTGTTAGTTTCTAACGCTATGCATCAGTATCTTCTTTTGAGCAATGTTTTTGTTGTCACTTTGGTATAAGTAGTATCTACATTGAAAGAAAATCAAGTCATTTTAGAAATTGGCACTAGTCCTATAGTCCTTGCCAAACTGCCCAATAGTTAAGGTATCCCAAGGACTAGTAGAAATTTGCCATTATTGAGCGTTTTGCTATATGTTATCATCATAAGGACTAGTGGACTAAAACAGTTAGTTTCTAACCCTGTCCTTAAGTAACTGTGAGATTATATTTTGTACATTATGGCATTATGTACACTTACAGCAAGGATATTCATGATACTTTAATTTGCAAGTACTTCAAGTGTATTGTCTGTATTGTGTTGCATAAGTTATCATTGAGCCACTTGAGACTGGAGATCTGTTGTTGACAGCCTTGACCTACATCTGCATTACTGTCGAACGCCTGGTCTAACCCTCCGGAATGTATTATACGTGTGACAGTGTGGAGGTCCCGTCTCAATCCCATTAGCTCTTAGTCACAAGCAGTCTGGAAACGATTAAACAATAGTCTTGCTAGCTTGTTAAAAGTAGCCCAAGTAGCCCAAGTGTGTCTGAATGTAGGTGTACCAAACCTATAAAACTACATGTAGTGGTTGTGTCTGCAAACTGCTCACAAAGAAAGACCCATTCCTCAGGACTTCTTGACAAGTGTTAGTGGTTGGAAGTGAACAATTGTGTCTTGTTTGAAAATCAATGCTGTCTTCAAGCACAAATATGTTTTAATTTGTTTGCTGATAGAATTTTTTTTACTGATCTATCGCTGAATGAGAGCTTAATGTTAATTGTTCAAAATTTTCATTGTTAATGGGCCTGTCCGGTCAGTGTATTTCGGTCCAACACTCTATATTTTTGTCCTTCCTGAATTATCACTGTTAATGTGGGTGAAGTAATAGAGGAAGGGCTCCATGGACACAACATGGACAATGGCTCCATGACTCCGTGACTCATCTGTGATTGGCTGCTGGGACCTTTGCTCCCCTCCTCTCCCTCCTCTCCCTCCCCTCCCTCCCCCATCTTCCCCGGTCTGCTTAGAGTTCACACCTCTGTATTCAAGAAGTACTCAAATCAATAAAGGTCTGCATATTGTAGCAGTATCAAGCTATCAAAGCCCTTGTCTTTCGACTTCTGTTGCCTTGTCATGGAAACAATCATTGTGTTGTCTATATGTGTGGCTCACAGTTCGTACCAGTGCAAGATTTTGTGTTGTGCTAAATGCATGGTGAAGTGATGGAAATGAAAGGGGTCCCTTTGTTGACAGTTTCTGCTACAATACTGTACTATAATCTTCCGACCTCTGAAGCTTGATAAGGCCCCTTTGAACACTGATTAATTACACGAATGAGTTATTACATACATATCTCAGTTCACACAAGTTGAGGAAATATTACTCAATTTTGTTTTGTAAAAACAGTATCAATTTCTAGCACTTTCTCATGGAACAAGAGGTTTAAATTTTATAAATAAACATTTCCTCTTTCCGTAATCATCAAATTATGATGTTACATTTGGACATAACAAGATATGTTAATGTTGATATATCAGCACAATGCAGGAGAGAAAATGTCTTCATACCTTATATGGACTCATTATGCAATGAAACCTTGTTTATCTGGATAGTCACCTGGGTTGTAAATTTCCTGGTTAATGAATCATGGGTGTTGCGTAATTGTGCTGTAAATACAGTGATTGAAATTATACACGGGGTCTGAGTCTGTGAGATCTTCTCCTTTGGCATTTGTATCTGGGGACCTACATTTTCCATTTTTAATGTTAGGGTTATAACAAGGGCCCCTTGACTTTCATGCTTATTTTTGAACACTGAAAAACTTAATCAGTAGGAACCTGTTATCTCCTAGTAGGTACCTTTAATTCAGGAACTGTTGTTTTCCAAAACCAAACCTAGCATCAACAAAGACAAGGTTAATGATAAAAAAACAAGACTGTTGGCAGTGTTGTCACCTAATCCTTGAACCTGGAATGAAAACCAGAAAGTAATAGTTGCTCATATGCAGCCGTTGAAGCACTAGAGTGGGTTGCCATTATATGTACAAGATGAGGGGGAGACACTGCATTGGAAGCTGCAGAATCCGACTGCACTCAGCAAGCAGCACAACAACTGCCATGTGGTATCACTTTACCACTGCAAACAACAAAAAATGGTAACCTTGTTCACTCTGGAGAAAAATGGATTGCTGTTTTGTATTCCTGTTGGGCTTTTAAGTTGTGTATGAGGAGCCAATGTTGTAACCCTTCTCAAGTGGTGGAAGATTAGTTTTGTATTTTAAATTTGAGCTTTGGCATATGTTTTCACAAATGGGGTGAAATTATCAGTATATATGTGGTTGTTGTCATTTACACTGCTTTACATGCGTGTGCAGGCGTAAACATGGTAAATACTTGATAGTTTAATTACCAGTACTCAATTGATGTGTCAGCTTTCAGGGTTTAAGTTATCTCAAAACAGCCTATTTACAATAAGTAGTCACAAATCTAAAATCATATAATTCAGTGGTTAAATGTGCATTTCAAATTGCTTTAATCCATCTGTAATTTCAAACACCAAACAAGGACAATATGAAATATTTGAAACATATCATGGGATGGTTATATTGAAAGCACTGTCCACCATACACTGCTCCAACACAAATACTCCCTATTATCATGATTATGTAGAAGTCAAGCAGGCGCGTTCTTCGGTTCTGTGCAGATGATTACAATAGGTATGTTGTGTGTTGTCCTTGTGAAGGTATAGTAACCCTAACAAGGTAATACCGTATTCGACGTAATAAGCGCCCAGGGCGCTCTCAAAATTAGAATATTATTTTGGTGAAAAAAAAGTTGAGTTGAAAGATAAATTTCGTGGTTTATGCTGACGGCCTGAAATGTTTATGTACGACAGATATATATTTCCCAAATTTAATTGCCCATAATTAAGTGTGCATATAACGCACGAGTGCGTATTATTCGCGAATAAATAAGTCTTGTGTACATTAATCAATCGGAAGGGGTGCTGATTGGGATTGTTCACTAGCCAATATACTAGCAAATATCGCCGTAGGCGTTTATTAGAGCGGGGCGCTTATTACGTTGAATACGGTACATGAAATGTTGATAAGCTGTGGTCCACAATCTCCACCTGGTCCTGTGACATAAATAGGTCTGTCTGACAGTGTGCAGGCTGTGGCAGATCTGACTCCTGCGTTCCACACTGTTTCACATCAACAATACCTCTCAGCCAGCCCTCATACAAAGATCAGATTATGGCAGCCAGTTGAAAAGTGTAACCTACTGAAAGTATGCTAAATTTAGTAAAAAGTAGACTTGTCTCCTTTGAATGTGTGGCCGTTTCACTTCTAATGTGGAATGTAACTCAAATGGTATATGTGCACTATACCTGTCTGCACACACAAGATGATGATGCTAAACAAGGCTTTGTCGTCCATTGTGCGCCATTGATGATCTAACCAGGTCACATTGACACACATTGGGGGTGTTGGTGCGTGTGAAGAACAGATTTAAAAGCTGACGAATTTCCGTTTCTTCCAATTCAATCATTCTGTCTCTGAAAGACCATTTCAGTAAAACGTTCATTTTCATGAATACATGTATGATGAAAGAAAGATGGAGAAATATGGATCTCTAATTCTGGATTTGAAAATGAGTCGTACTATTTTCCACACAACTATGTATTTTTGATGATTATTGATTTTTGCTAGCGTTTTTGACTGGCAGCTACAAAAGAAAAACTTTGACATTCAAATCAATCTGAAACCAGACATAATCGTCTTTCATGTAGTTGTGAAAAGATTTATTAATTGACATCAGCAAGGCAATACTAGTATTAGTGGCCAGTGGGAGGGTGGGTATGGTGACCTGACTCTTTTTATAGTCTCCTGTTGAGAAGGGGCAGTGATAACGTTCGGTGAAAAGATAAAACAGTTTTAATAAAAATAGGTGGAGAAAGATATGAAAAGTATTTGTTTAAGGGATGGAATTTGATTATTTTGGGGTGATGCTAATAAAATCCCTTAGTATTAAATGTTTGTGCTTCACAACAAAACATGGCTGTGTGATGTTTCTGGAAGGTGGAAAAGAATTTATTGATAAAGATAAGATGACCAGATGGCTAGACAATTTATACCTTAGACTTTATTTTATGTCATCCATTGCAAGTTTCAAAGTATTGAAGAGGTTTTAACTTCTATAAACATGATAAAGGGGGAGACACTAATTGTCATCTTAATTAGTCCACAGCTCATTTCAGACAAGTGGTTTATGTGAAATTACAGATTTTGGGAGATAATAACTGGTCTCTCTATATATTCACCAAGCTTTGACTAACAGACTAGTGACCGTGTCTATCCCTGCTTATATATTTATACTGATCTTGAACAATGTATTTTAAAGTATATATGCAATCTCATTAAAATCAGATCTTAGTTCTCGCTACCGCTAAACAAAGATCTGAGGACATCCCATTAGGGGTCCCGTCAGAACGACATTTCATCCGACCAATTAGAGCTTCGCTTACCAGATCATGATAGTGACATTCGGAATGTGATTTCGCTTACCAGATCATGAAAGTGACAGTTGGAATGTGATTCCTCATCATGCATCCTCGAAAACTTTAAAAGGGGGTATTCCAAACAATAGTAACGGGTTTAACGACTGAATCTATACAATCTAGACCATATATTAGCCATTCGAGAATGTTCTTTTGTTCAGGTTTCAATCTTTTAAGCGAGTATTTGTCAAATTATGTTTAGAAGCGTAGTTGCCAATTTGAAATTAGTGCCGTAAAGCACGAGAAAGCTGCCTTCTGATTGGCTAATGTCGACTTCTTGTCATTAATTCCATTGGTCGGTCAGAGTATGCTCAGGTCGGTGTGACGTGACCCATCATGGGATGTCTTCAGATCTTTGTTTAGCCGCAGCGAGAACTAAGATCTGATTTTAATGAGATTGAGTATATATGCTGGTATGTAGTTCAAAGCATGACTTTGTGCCAGAAGAACATTTCCAGTGAATTCAGAAGCTGATGTTGCTTGACATGTATGCAAGTGATTTGTTTGAGTGACCTTTTTTTTTTCTAAGATATGAATTGATAAAACTATTCAAATACATATATGACACCATGTGACCCCTGGCAATGAAAATGTTCCAAAACCACAAATTTCAATTATCTATATTGAGCTAAGCTTCCATTATTATATAATAATTACGTTTAAGACTTCTACTTTCTATCTGCATTGTGTCTTACCAGCTCATTGGCCAGATATGATTTGGCGTCAGTTAGTTTCAAAGAAGTTGTTTAGATTCTATAGTTGTAGAAGTTTAAAATGTAGTGTGCGTATCGTTTGTTTATTTCTAAATGCTTTTTCTTTCTGTTTTCAGAAATTGTAGATGGAAATGTAAAAATGACGTTAGGTATGATCTGGACGATCATTTTAAGATTTGCTATTCAAGACATTACAGTAGAAGGTGAGTGTTGGTGACACTATATGAATGAAAATAATAAAAATGTGTGTACTTGTGTAACACTAGCCTTTGTACACTAAGTGCATGCTCAAAGCGCTAACATCATTACTTCCGTCATTGGATCAGTGAGGGGCGGTCGGGTAGCCTAGTGGTTAAAGCGTTCGCTCGTCACGCCGAAGACCCGGGTTCGATTCCCGACATGGGTACAATGTGTGAAGCCCATTTCTGGTGTCCCCCGCCGTGATATTGCTGGAATATTGCTAAAAGCGGCGTAAAACCAAACTCACTCACTCACTCACTCATTGGATCAGTGTGCACTCGGTTTTCATTCTCAGCTCCCTGGGGAGTATAAATAAAAATTATGTTTTAACAAATCTGTGAAATAAGCAGTTTAGTTAGATTTTCAAGTAATTATCATTGTAAAGTAGAAAACAGTCATGTAATCCTACGCCAAACAGTAATCTTACGCCAAACAGTAATAGTGCCTTTTTTCAGAATTTACAAACTTGATTTTTCTTAAATGTTTTTGCTTGCATTTACAGAAATGACAGCAAAAGAAGGTTTACTCCTCTGGTGCCAGAGGAAGACTGCCCCATATAGAAATGTCAATGTACAGAACTTCCACCTTAGGTGAGACCTGTTGCAAGGGAGATAACTGTGACTGACCTATGTGCACCTTGCATTATGTTGTAACCAGGAGAGAAATGTTGAATATTAATTACTAGAATTGTGTTAGGTGAGAAGTTTACTATCTTCCTGTCTCATATTGTAAATGGTAAAATATCTGGTAAATATTTCTGGTAAGAAATGATTTGTGGACTGTAAAAGTCATCAGATAAAGTTATGAGTCCAAATGATTTATATGTAATCATTGTAAAGTAAATTCTCAAGTATAGGTGTTTGGAAGACTTCTGGTAACTTGAGTTCTGTAATGAGTAGCATTAGATACATAGATAGACAAGTTGATAGTTTTTAAGATGTCCTCTCCCTATTTCAGTTGCCAATTCTCCTATGTTGCCATGTTTACGTTGTTAATGTGACTGTCTGCTTTTCCAGCTGGAAGGATGGTTTAGCCTTCTGTGCCCTAATTCACAGACATCGCCCTGAACTCATAGACTATTACAAGTTATCACGGGTAATAGGTGGCGCCCTCGCCCAACGAGAATGCTGCCGTAACATCTAACACGTTACCTTCTTTCGTTAAGCCTGCGCATGTGCTTACTTTTAATTTCTTCTTCAGCTTTAAAGATGGTTTGGCATTCTGTGCACTCATACACAGGCACCGACCTGATCTTATTGACTACAGCAAACTATCTAAGGTGAGTTACGAGGTGTCAGATAGGGCTAGGTCAGAGGTCAAGGGCATCCAGCAAGCACCTGTCATGACTGACTGTCTATGGAATTTGCTTCATCAGCTGGTTTTTATTGTTCTTCTGATTATGACACAGTGGTTCCTCGGGGTTCATGAATCTGGTTACATGTTGACGAACATAGATTGTTCATTCGAAATTACTTTTTTCGGTGGCAAATTGGAAAATTTTCCTGTTCTTAATGTTTCATGTGTGAGTGTGATGTTATTCTAGGAGCATCACTTTTTTCAGCCAGTCATTCTAGGAACATTCACTTTTTTCAGCCAGTTATTCTAGGAACATTCACTGTTTTCAGCAAGTTATTCTAGGAACATCACTGTTTTCAGCAAGTCATTCTCGGAACATCACTGTTTTCAGCAAGTCATTCTAGGAACATTCACTGTTTTCAGCAAGTTATTCTAGGAACATCACTGTTTTCAGCAAGTCATTCTCGGAACATCACTGTTTTCAGCAAGTCATTCTCAGAACATTCACTGTTTTCAGCAAGTTATTCTAGGAACATCACTGTTTTCAGCAAGTCATTCTCAGAACAATCACTGTTTTCAGCAAGTTTTCAGGATAGCTCTCAGGTCTCTTGAACTGAATGTGTATTCACGGTGTTGAATATTTGAAATCGGCTTGACTAAAAATACATGCGTTATTTCGGATACTGTTCAATGGTGTTTTGGAAGATGTTTGGTTGAGGGAGAATTAAGATGCCCCTGAAGTCGAGATAGCAATGCCAGAAGCTGTAGTCAGACATACTATCTGTTGTAATGGTGATATATAGAATGTTGTAATGTTTTGAGAGTTCTCTTTATGTCTAATACTGGTTGTTATTTCCATGTGAGGGATACAAATATAAGAGAGATCTAATGAATTGTCTTTTTGAATTTTGTGAAAGATTTGATTAAGATACAGGACCTTTTTGAAATCAAAATGAAACACTGTTTTGAGGAGCTGTCTGGCAGCTTAGTTGTTAAAGTGTTTGCTTATATGTCAAAGAATTAAGTTTGATTCCTGTTATGGAATGGTCTGTCTTTGCTATTACTCATATGGTGCTAAATGTGTGATGAAGCTGTACCCACCCATGTGGTGAATTGTGGTCCGCAGTCTGGTCGAGGTAGTCTTGTCATGTGATGGTCAGATTGGTCAGTTGTGGCAGGTGCTTTCAGTATGCTGATGAAATTCTCATCGACTTCAACAGTTAACGGCGAAATTTGAAGATCAGGATATCAGTATTGGTAACTTTACAGAATATTTGCATGAACCTTTCTCTGAATGGCTCATCTATCTATTCCTATGTCCCAGATCAGAGGCTGGCTAGCTGAACATGTGCTGTGGGGTGCGGGTGGTAGAGTGGGAGGGGCACGGTGGCCGTCACAGTGTATTGGTTGGTCAGTCGCTGGTGTAGGGAGAACAATGCTTGAGCTGGACACATTCATCTGCAGTTGTGGAGAATATTCTACGTATGTCGAATTGAAAAAGAAATATGTATGACCTGGAAAATAGAAATTAATTTCATGAGTATATCTGAATTTGTAGGAAACCATTAATTCAGCAAATCACTGAATGTTTATTTTTTAGTCATGTAGTTTCATTTTCAGTTATTTTTGCATATTCATTTGGTAGAAATGTCACTTTTATTTTATCAGTCACTTTATGTTGAGGATACACCATTGTGTCCCTCTCACTACTGCTATGTGTGTCACAAGCCAAGCAAGCTTTACAAAGCATGCAGCCATTCAAATCTCTCAGTTTGAAAGTTTTGCGTTGATTAATTTCATTAAACACATTTGTTTGTGAGATTTTACTTCAACATGATGATGTGGGCATGTATTAAACTTTATTTTACAGTGATTCTACTTATGTTTTTATCACTTTTCTTGAGTATTGTCATTTCACTTTTACATAGGCTATTCTTTAGCTTGACTATCAACAGTGTTAGATTCAGTGTAGAATAGTTTCATAGAACCAATGCTCAAGAAAAGTGAATTAAAGTTTGTACAACTGCCCGTTTTCATTGAGGATTGAGCATGTCAAACTGTAGTGCATGAATTTAGTTGCGTGCTACGTCCCATTAGAAATAGACTTTCACCTTTTTTATTAAAAATGAATATGTGAATATTCAGGTAGAAAATTCTGTGAATATTTGTGTGGAAAATTTACCTGGAATGTTTGAGTTTGTGGAACGTAAATTTTAAGTCATAGTTCTATGACAGTTGTCCTTGTTGTGATGTCCAAGCACTTATTAGGTCAAATAGTCTACACCTTTAGTATAAGCTGCTGTGTTTTAATGCTTCCAATATAATGATGAATCAAAGATTGACACCTGCCAATTGGAGGAACATAGATAGGGACAGTCCTAGAAGGAATAGCTGCAGTGCTGAGTGGAGTTATTGCCCTTTAGATTTCCAAAGAGTTATCTACCCTTAGCTTCCAGGAGTGATTCAACATTTGCTTTGATCATAGATTGTATAGAAATTGCTTTACTAATACTTTCAGTGTAAGCTGCTATATCAGCATGAGTTCATATAGGTAACAAGACTTGTTGTGAGTGTGTATCTGATCTTTGTATGTTTTCCATATCAGGACAACCCACTTCAAAACCTGAACACTGCCTTCGATGTTGCTGAACAGCACTTAGACATCCCTCGCATGTTGGATCCTGAAGGTGAGGGAAGTCTCCTGATAATGTTTTTTGACAAAGGGCTGTCAAATAATATCATCTTAAGGCCAGGCTTTTTTTATTTTTAGGATTACGGATTTTTCAGCCCAAAGTCCAGGGTTGGAGGGGGGGGGGGGGGGAAAGACGGATACATTTTTTAAAATGCAGAATGCCTCTGGCATACTTTATGAACATATTCTGTGCTCAAATGGCCGCCATTTGTGACGATAAAGCCCCTTGTAACCATAAAAATTCTATTACTTACAACACGGACAATTGTCAAGGGAGGCTATTCATGTTCGGCTTCGAGATCAACAAAGATCAATTATGAATCTCTTTACTAGCTGGAGAATAACTTGAATAGTACTGAAAGTGGTGTGGATTCAACCAATTTCAGAATATCTTTTAATCAAGATTTTTCATTTCCTATGATTACTTTGCAACTGTTAATGTTTTAATTTCATCCTTGACTGACCTTATGTTATTTTTGACAAATACAGATATGGTGAACTCCGTGAAACCAGATGAGAGGTCTGTGATGGCATACGTCTCCTGCTACTACCACGCCTTTTCAGGAGCTCAGCAGGTGATGAGAATCACTGTGTATTCTGGTCGTGTGCGAGACAATGTCCTGTGTAGCATCCTCTGGATTTTCAAATACAACAAACTTACTCATCCAGTACAGCAATCCTAATGTTCTGGATAGTTTTAACTTGTCACAATTTTTATTGTAGAATTATTTGAAACAAATCATGCCAAATGCAAAGTAAATGATGTTTTGAATACCACTTTATCAAAGTGAATCATAGTAACAGTTCCCGTGGGGACCTGGGATGGAATTAGTCCAAGCGCCCAATTTCTTGTAGTAGGCAGCAATTTGTTTGGATCCGGTGGTCAGACTTGAAGACTGCACGTATCATTCCCTGACAGTGTAGGTGATTATCTCAACCACTGATTGGACTGGCCCAGACTCAATAATTTACGATGTTGCTGCATGTTTCAGGCCGAGACAGCCGCCAACCGTATCTGCAAGGTGCTGAAGGTGAACCAGGAGAATGAGAGACTCATGGAAGAGTATGAGCGTCTTGCCAGTGATGTGAGTTTACCGACTTCCTATTCCGCATTGCAGACATCTAGTTTTGTTTCCTGCTAAGTATTCAAGATTCCTATCACAATTTTACATGTCAAAATCCTTTGCTAATTTCAATTTACCGGTTAAGAAGACATAGCCAGCCAGCATGGAAGGGGCTGTCGGGTAGCCTAGTGGTTAAAGCGTTGCTCGTCACCCTGAAGACCCGGATTCGATTCCCGACTTGGGTACAATGTGTGAAGCCCATGTATGGCTCGCCGTGATATTGCTAAAAGCGGCGTAAAACCATACTCACTCACTCACTCACCAGCAAGGAAGACATGAAAATGAAGAGTTGTTGAAGTCTAACTTTTAAGAAATTGTTTTGCATACTTTTGTAGCTATGTTTGAGGTTATGTGAAATGTGATTAACAAGTTGAGCAATATTTACTTGATATCTTGATATTTTTGAATGTTTTACACATTGGTTGAGACAGGCAATAGTTGTCAGCTTGGTGATGAACTCATCATCGTAATACTTTGGTACACTTCAGTGTGCAAGAGACATTTCAACTTTAAAGGTGTGAAAGGTTCAATCAAAGTAGTAGTTTTGATTTCCGCAGCAGAGTAAGGATGTAATGTTGCTGGCTACATCATAAAACTTATTATCTCCCCTTGTTTTTTGCAGCTTCTTGAGTGGATCAGGAAGACCCGCCCGTGGCTGGAGAACCGTGTGACAGACAACACCCTGCCCGGCACCAGACGCAAGTTGGATGAGTTCCGTGACTACCGCCGCTTGCACAAACCGCCAAAACTTAACGATAAAGCTCAGCTGGAAAACAGCTTTAACACCCTACAGACAAGGCTGAGGCTGAGCAACAGACCAGCCTATATTCCCACCGAAGGCAAAATGGTTTCGGTATGTTTATCTGATTACATTCATACTGAACTTTAGATACACATGACACATCCAAAAGTTGCCATTCTCATAATAAATACCTTTGGACTTGGTTAAGTGCTATTTTGATAAGTTACCGTCTTTTTTCCATATTTGAGAGTTCTTAAAAAAAAAAACAGCTTTATTTTCCAAAGAATATTGTTATGTTCTCTGTAACCACCTCTGCATAACATGCACATTGTGACTTGCAACCCATGCTTGCAGTAAAAGGCAGCTAACGGGATCGGGTGGTCAGGCTCGCTGCACATTGTGTGATACCTTTAAGACTTGTCAGTTATTTGTAGGATTGTTATCTGTACAGACAGAAACTATCATGGGGCATGTTTTGTCTGCTGCAGGATATTGCCAATGCCTGGAAGGGACTGGAATCTGCAGAGAAAGGATTTGAGGAGTGGCTCCTCTCAGAACTTCAAAGGTAGGTAACTTTACTTTTAAAACCCCAGTGGGGATTTAGGGACAGAATCAAGGTCTTTTGTTACACTCTTGGATGAATTGCTGCAACCAGTGTGGAAACTAATGTAACAGGAATGTTGAAAATTTTGTAAGACTTAAATGAATTATTGCGAGGCACAGTAAGTGTATAATGCTAGGGGGTATGCTGAGATTGTAAAAATATTAACATTACTTTGTTCTGAGGGTTGCTGATTCAATGTTACATCGTCCTCTCAATTTACAGATTAGAGCGCCTTGATCATTTGGCGCAGAAATTCCGCCACAAGTGTCAAATTCATGAGGAATGGTCAACCGGCAAGGAGGACATGCTCCAGAGCAGAGACTTCAAGCAGTGCAGACTGAACGAACTCAAGGTCAGTAGTTTCTTGTAGGTCAAGGTCATTACAGGTTTGTTCCACATGGTCACTTACTGATGAACATTCACTCTTTCCTAGGGGGCACAGGTGGCCCAGACGTCTAAGGCGCCGCGATTCGCTGTGCAGAGTTGCGTCCCTTGGGCACGCCAGAAACCTATGATTGTGGGTTTGAATCCCAGTTCGCCCCGATTATGTTTCTAGGTTTGTCAGCACCATACCTGTGCTCGTTGGTTTCACTGAAGTGGTAAACGTCTGAGACCTGCATCACCTCGAGCCTTTCTCCCACATTAAGATGACACCCTGTGAAGTAACTTGAATACTGTTAAAAGCGGCATTAAACCCAACTCACTCACTCACTCACTGTTTCCTAACTTTTACACAGCTACCATGGCAGTGGGCTTTATTTCTATTTTTCATCGACATCTCAAGCAGCATTTAGATAAAAGCCATCAGCAATAAAACATTGCTGCCTTTGGTATTCAGTATCATAATAATAATAATAATAATAATAATTGATTTGTAAAGCGCCTAATATCCATCGACAGTTGCTCACTGGCGCTGAGACAAGGTTAAAAAGTAATATCTATGTACATGTGCCAACAATCAGGAGATCTATTGAAAAGCTGAGGTGAAGAAGTGGGTTTTGAGGAGAGACTTAAATGTTTCCTTAGAAGCAGAGTTTCTCAGATTCAAAGGCAAAGCGTTCCATAACTGTGGACTGCAAAAGGAGAAGGCACGGTCAGACATAGCAGAAGTAGACAGAGGCTGATACAGTAGAGTTCCACCAGAGGATCGGAGAGCACGCTCCTTTTTTGGCCTCCATATTCCCCACATGAACACCAAATATTCTGCCTCACTTTAAATATTACTAGTTTCCGCCACTATCTGTTCTGTTGTGTATCTCTCTGATCCAGTGCAGAGTTTGAGTCAATCATTTGGGTACATTTACAAACGTTTGGATGCAGTGAAGTGCTCTGCCTGGTTAACCTGTGTTTTGTTGTACTTCCAGGCGATGAAGAAGAAGCATGAGGCCTTCGAGAGTGACCTTGCTGCTCACCAGGACCGCGTGGAGCAGATTGCAGCCATTGCACAGGAGTTGAAGTGAGTGCACTCCTTACCATCAAAACCGCAAGGACAATTTCAGATAATTCCTTGCCAGGAACCTATATTCGAATCCTAGTTCACCCGAGTCATGTTTCTAGGTCGAGCAGCACCATACTGGTGCTCCTGGGTTTCACCAATGTGGTAAACGTCTGAGACCTGCATGACTTAGGGCTTGCCTCCCACATTAAGCTGACACGCTTTGATAGAACTTGAACACTGTTAAAATTAACCCAACTCACTTAGTGTTTTTCATTAAGTTACATGGAACTTGTTAAGATGAGCTACTTCATGAGGCTGTTTCCTGAATGTATGGCTGACAGTGACATTATGTATGTTTCAGTGCTCTGGAGTACCATGATGTGGCATCAGTCAATTCAAGATGTCAGGTAGACAACCACTACTGTCTTCTTACACATATCTTCCTATCCACCTTTTGTTTCTAAGTATGTAAACATAAGTATGATGTAAATCCGAAAATATTGTCAAAGCTTTATCAAACTATGATTAGTAATCAAAATATGACCCTGTGTTTTTTCTTCAGCATATCTGTGATCAGTGGGACCGTCTTGGTCTGTTGACGCAGAAGAGGAGGGAAGGACTGGATGTAAGTTGTCTCTCCTGTTTATGATACAGTTAGTGTCCAAACCATTTCCATTGATGGACATGTTGGCTGTAGTTTGCCATGTATATCAAATGACAATTTACAATACTGGCATAGCTGCCAACTTTTTGTATTTGTATGAATTTGCAGCTTAAGTATGTAAATATGATTTCTTCTTTAATTCGTTCAAATAATATGCCAATATACAAAAATAAGTCACAAGGGCACAATTTTCGACACCGATGAAGACAGGGTACTCATTTAGCCTTGCACCGTCAATGAATGCGAGTATGTCTTGTTACCAACTGGTTTGAAGTCTTAATACAGTATTGCATTATAGTGTCCTATTGTTGGAGGTTGCTGAAGCCGAAATAGAAACCAAGTGATAAAATTAACATTTCGGAAATTGTTGGGCTCTGGTGTCACAATGAGCAGATCGCAACAAAGTATTAAATGTGAATTTGGAAAGTTGGCAGCTGTGAACTGGGGGTTTAGGGTAGTGATTGATTCTCTATAGTGACTGTTGGACTAACATATGCTTGAGATACATCAGCGTTGTAGTACACAATCATGAATTAAAGTAATGATTATTGTCAGAATGATTTTTCTTTAAGAGTAAGATCCGTAAATTGCATCCATGAAATTGACATGTTTCATCTTGATTAACAAAATCTAGGTTAGGAAATAGTAATGCTTTTCTATTAGACCTGTCATAGTTGTTGACAAAGCTGACCTGTATGTGTGTCTTGTAGGAGGCTGAGAGGATTCTGGAGAAGATTGACCAGCTTCATCTGGAGTTTGCCAAGAGAGCTGCAGTAAGAGTTCTTCATTAAATATATTACAGCTTCAGGTTGACTTCAATGTTTATGGGTTGTTTGTAACCCTAAGCCACATTGGTCAGGTTACAGATATATGGGACCAGGGGATCCATGTTATAACACTGAGGGTCATTTGTGTGTTCCTGGGTCGGTGACCCCACCACCTGTCAATCTGAAGCACTGATACTGATCAGCAGTAATGTTGTGACTGATCATAAAAGGTGATCGGAAACAGAGATGGAATGAATTGAATGATTAGTTGTAAGATGTGTGAGAACTGACGACTTTGACAATTTGTCCTTTACTTCCCCTTGCAGCCATTCAACAACTGGATGGATGGAGCCAAGGAAGATCTGATGGATATGTTCATTGTGCACACAACAGAAGAAGTGCAGGCAAGTGCAAGAACGCCATTCGCAACAAAAGATAACTCATTTTAATTTCAAATGCCTGTCTGAATTTGTAAACAATATGGACTGTTGGCAAACATTTAACTGTTAGTGTTGATACTGAAGAAAGACACTGTGGTTGTCGAGCATATTGAACTGATATATTTCCAAAATAAACCAATTATTAATTTATGACCTAAATATCTAAATGTAACTTTGAATGGTAAAGCAATATATACTGAATTGTTTGATAGGCATTACATAGGAGTTGACGGATGACAAAGTAGAGACAATTTATAAATGACAGTAAATAAGGAAGTTGTTATCCATTTGCAATATATACTTCTCAACATTTACTAAGGACCACACCTTTGACTAAAGATGACTATTGTGATCCTTAGCAAATGTTGAGTAATATATGTTTAACATGGCGTCATAGTGCAACTGATAAAGGTCCCCAATATTCTTTTAAGCTCAGGTAGTCTTATCAGTAGAATGGTTCTGTGGACTTCAATGTGAGTTTGGCGGTTTTCAGGGTCTGATTGACGCCCATGAGCAGTTCAAGGCCACTCTGGGTGAGGCAGACAAGGAGTTCCAGACGATCATCTCCCTGGTGCAGGAAGTGAACCGCCTGGCCCAGCAGTACAACCTGACCCCACCAGACAACCCCTACTCCACACTGCACGCTCAGGTACATGGACTTCCTCCCCACTATACATGCTGTAGTTTACATAGTCGTGGCTGCAACAAGCATTGGTCGTGGAACTTAGCATTTTATGTTTCTTGTGAATAAGAGGTTATTTTCAAGTTGAAAAGTTTTGCAACACTAAATTTTTACTCTTCATGATCTTTAATTCTTGCTCCAAATTTTGATGGTTGATGTAGTTTTATCAGATACGCAACTTAACCTGAAACACTTTCCATCCTGAATTGTGATAACGTGTAAGGACACACGACAAATTAAAATTCCTCCAACCCTGAGACCTTTAACAAAGACATGGCTCAGGCTGGCACCAGTTTTCATCCCTGGGAAAGTGTTGCATATTTATTATTGTAATTTATTTAATTCCGACTGTAAACATAAAGATGTTCTCTTTCTGTAAGCATGTATCCTATCAGGTCCATCATCAAGTTTTATGTCAGATGAGGTGAAAGCCAGTCCAATGTGTCCAGTACAGCAGGCCTTAGCTAGGGACCAGCTTTCTTATAATGTTTTCTCTTAATCACTCGTTTAGTGAAAGTCCACATGACATCCACTACATTCAGCTTCAGCTTAAATTGCGGAGAGCTTCTCAGAATGCACACGCAATTTACTATTTACATTTTAGACTTGCAGTGTGCTGTGCCTAAAATATTTTGCAAGTTTTTTTCACCATGTTATTGCACAAACTACTGAATTTGCAGGATGAAAGTCCGATGGAGGTATGCTAGGCACCTTGACAATTACAGATATAGTAATGAATATACTGGACCATGCTAATATCACAAACCCTCCATTATCACTGTATAACGTTTCCCAAAGTTAAACTTTAGACAGGTCATCCCTATTATACATGATTATAAATGTTGCACCTACTATGTATATGAAACTAATATGTGTTTGGAAATGCACTGATATTTATTCAATGTAAAATGTTTGTGGAGTCCCATCGTGTCTGATTTCTGAAGATAATGCATATTCATGTTTTCTCAAGATTTTCACTTAAGAGTCATTACTCCCACTGTCTCCGAAAGTTATGGTAGCAGCTAGCTGTTACTATACAGCGATAGAAACTAACATTTTTAGTCCACTAGTCCTTATAATGATAACATATAGCAAAACACTGAAAAATGGCAAAGTCCTCATGATACCTTAGGGGGCACGGGTGGCCCAGTCGTCTAAGGCGCCGCGATTCGCTGTGCAGAGTTGCGTCCCTTGGGCATGCCAGAAACCTATGATTGTGGGTTCGAATCCCGGTTCGCCCCGATTATGTTTCTAGGTTTGTCAGCACCATACCCGTGCTCGTGGGTTTCACCGAAGTGGTAAACGTCTAAGACCTGCATCACTTCGGGCTTTCCTCCCACATTAAGCTGACACGCCGTGATATAACTGGAATACTGTTAAAAGCGGCGTTAAACCCAACTCACTCACTCACTCATGATACCTTAACTATTGGGCAGTTTGGTAAGGACTATAGGACTAGTGCCAATTTCTATCGCTGTAACAAAGCAGCTAGCTATGACTGTAAACCAGTTAACTATTACTGTAAACCTGTTAGCTATTACTGTAAACCAGTTAGCTATTACTATAAGGCAGCTAGCTATTACTGTAACCCAGTAAGCTATTACTATAAAGGTTAGATTAGATGTGTAAAGGTGTGTGTTGTGTTTTCATCCGTGTCATGCTTGATCCTCGTTTCCTAACCTCATCAAATACCTGTGTGGTTTGTTAATGAATGATTGCAAATGTCTAACCCATACCATCTAGGTTGATGCACCCATTTTAAAGCATTTGTCCCCTTTCTTTACATTTGTTTTTGCCTTGGACTGGGAGTAGGAGGTTAGTATATGCAGCCCTCACTGGCTTGGGTACGAGAGAGCCAGCGAGTGATCGCTTCTCCACTCAACCTCTGTATTCAACTGTTTGTAATGTCGATGTTTCATGCAAGGTGCTAACACTAATTCCCACGGCGGAGGAGAGCTACACAGGGTGTCGCTGTACTTCGCTGTCACCTTACATTTGCTTTTTGTTGTTATCGTGTTATTCTTTATGTGCATCTGTGTGGAGGGGATGTAGATCAAAGGGATGTGACTGAACCCTGTTGCATAGCAACATAAATATTTAAGTGTATGAAACTGTGGCATGGGGAGCTGTTTTTATCACAATTTTTTTATTTTTTGATGAAATGTTGATTGAACAGAAACTTTTAGCATGTGGTGAAGGTGTATTTGGGCAGGAATGTATCAAAATGTTATGAGAATTTACATCAAACTTAATTCAGCACTCTTGATATCTGAGCAAATGGTTTTATTGGGGTTTCTTAACATGGCATGGGTCTTAATTGTAAAGCTGTATGAAAGAAGGTTAGCAATATCTGGTGATATCATTTATGAGATACGGAATCCATATTGAAATAGTAAGTGTCTCAAACTGATTTGTTAGGGGGTATTCATCCATATTGTTACTTTGGTAACTGTTCCCAACGTTTTCTAGAACATGTCCTACCAAATTCCTGAAGGTGACATGGAAGACATTGAGATCTAATGTGGGGGAATCACCACCTTACGTTATCAGGAACATGGTGCTTGCAGTCAGTCACACAGATGTACATTGTTTAGTGTTTCGTTGTTTAGATAGTTTCACTGTTCTGCAAAATAAACAACCCATATATGAGACTCTAGAATCACAGGAGAAATACTGGCGCCACAGTGTCACGGAAAATGGTGTCATAATTGAAATAACTTTGTTTAACTTTCACGTCACACTGTCACCACCTATTAACACGTCACATTTCTCCTGGCAGGCAATAACAACAATGTACTTGCTAACCAACTTACTAACTGCTTCAGGTCATGGGAACTAATTGTCAGTGTATGCAGGAGCTACTGTGGTTAATCCCTCATGAATATTTCCTGTTGGATGTTCAATTGTCATGGGTTAATTGATCAATACATCACTGCAACTAAGTTCAGTGACAAACAAATAAAGAAACTTATTGTAATCTTTCTGTCCGCATGTTTATGTATAGTGCATGAGCGATAGTATCATCAATGCTTGTAAATATTATTAGATTTAATGAAAAATATTTAGCAATGCCAGAGTGCAGAACTCCTTCATCTGCGGACCTGGTTCCACAAAACGATCTTAGCACTACGATTATTTTAAGTCTATGTTGAAGTAGGGGAGTTGTGATCTTCTTAGCGCTAAGATCCCTTTTAGGAACAGGCCGTAGGCCCAGTTGAACAAAGCAGGTTGCTGTCCAATGGATGATCGTTGCTCCTATATTTAAAATTGACTTATGACAGTCATAGAACTAAGGTCACTTTGTGGAACGACAGCCTGCTCTGATTGTAGTTGACAGGAATTGTAGTTCTCTGTACTCTATAACTATGTGTAGATGTAGTCACTCTAAATACTAAGACTATATTTTTGGCAGTCCCCTCGAAGGGGAGGGTTCATGTCGCATGCAACACATGCATGATCAGCTGTCACTCGTCAAGTCAAATCTGGTTACAGGCATGATCTGAAAGGAAATTTCATGTCTTTTATTTTCATCTCTTTTGTTCACTGAATATATCTTTTGCCTTGTGCACTTAAATTTTCCCTAAAAAAGCAATAGCTTTTTGAGTTCTTGTGCTTTAAGGTTATGAAAACAGTTCAGTATATGTCTGAGTATAAGCTTATTTGTAGAGGAATCAGTGTTCGAAATAATTTTAAAACCCAACAAGACAGTCTGGCAGGTGACCCATAAGTGTTGCCTGCTCATCTTCAAAGTTACCTGCCTGCATTCAGGCATTATAAATATTTAAAAATTGCAGAAACTAAGAGACAAATCATGTCTTGATTCAGTTGAAATATGGCAAATGATTACTTAGAATGTACAAGGACTTACGATAAAACTGAATACATAAGTTTTCTTAAAATTATCTGCCAAATAGCCTGGCAGGTGGAGGAAAAGCCTGACAGGAAAGTTACTAGACACGGGCAGGCGGGCAGGTAGTTATTTCGGACACTGTGAGGAATCCCAAGTACTTCTAGGTGTCATATATCTCTATAATGACTAATAATATTAATCTCAACCTGTTTACTCAAGCTGATAATTTACTACGGTAATTTGAATTTTGTTAAGATTATAAACATTGTCTGATTTTCTAAAATGAACTTGATTAAAAATTGCAAATATTTTTGTCATCAAAGTTAAAATATGAAATAATGTTTGGAGTGTTTTTTGTTTTTGTTTTAATCTAACGTGAAAAAATATGTGGTCCCAGGCATGGATATTTCTGTTATATTACTTAATCATGCTGTTTTGTGTTCTGTTTAAGTGTTATGTGTATGATAAAATGTATGAAATATCCTTGAGTACTTGGAGTAAGCAGTTTATAGTTACATTGCATGCATCTTACCATGCATAATGAAAGCCATAGCTCTTGACTGTTAATCACCATCCATCATTGTCAACATAATCGTTGTGACATCATCCTCATTGTACCATTGTTTCATTGTTTCAGTTTCAAAATGGTTGTTCAACTTTACATTTCCTCCAGTCAGTTGCAGGATTGAGAACATTTTGCTGCTGTCATTAAAAGGAAGCAGATGAACATTGGTCCCTTCTTTGAATTCTGATATCTCACATTTATTACCTTATTAGGAATGAAGGGGTGAACAACATTTCAAAAGTTGAATATGAGTCTCCTTAGCGCTAAGTCAGTGATAGTTGTGACAGAACGTTATTACACTGTAGTCATCTGCTCAGTAGCAGTATGTTAAGATGAGGACAAACATTGACTATCAAGGGGACATTCTGACTGTTGAGGGTTTGTTTGTAGGACATCGCCAACAAATGGACAGAAGTCCAGCACCTTGTGCCCGAGCGTGACTCCACCCTCCAGAACGAGATGGCTAGGCAGCAACGTAACGAGCGCCTGCGTCGGGAGTTCGGCCAGAAGGCCAATGTGGTGGGCCAGTGGATCGAGACCAACCTGGATGCCGTGGCCTCTATTGGTCTTCAGTCCAAGATGTCCCTTGAGGACCAACTAAAGAAGCTGAGGCAGTTTGACAATGCTGTCCAGGCCTACAAGACTAACATGGATGATCTGGAGAGAATCAATATGGTGTGTACTGCCACTGGCTTATATGTGTAGACCTAAAGTATGTTTGACACAGAGTGTTAATTTTTATATGCTGGCGAAATTGGCTGATTAGTTTAGCCAGCATTGAGATGTTTTATGTGTTGCTTATAATGGTAAAGGGGCGGTCGGGTAGCCTAGTGGTTAAAGCGTTCGCTCGTCATGCCTAAAACCCGGGTTCGATTCCCGACAAGGGTACAATGTGTGAAGCCCATTTCTGGTGTTCCCCACTGTGATGTTGCTGGAATATTGCTAAAAGCAGCGTAAAACCTCACTCACTCACTACAATGGTAAAATTAGATACTGAGTAGTGAAATGTTTATAAATATATAATGTATTTGTGAGGCGGATGTTGATTATGTGAATAAGCCTTCATTCATTTATGTGGACAGAATGTTTGTCAGTAGTAACAATCTTGTGTTTGTATGGTTCATGTTGTATGGTTCATGTTGCAGGAAGTGCAAGAGGCCATGATTTTCGAGAACCGATACACACAGTACTCCATGGAGGTGAGTTGTTGCTTGAGGATACCTATTCATGTCACAAATACCAGCAACTAGTGATTCTTTAACAACTGTTAGTGCCCCTGGGGATTCCAGGTAAAGTTGGTTTCCAGTAACCTATGCTTGTAAGAGGCAACAAGAATGGATTGGGTGTGGTCAAGCTCGGTGACTTTTGATTTTGATGAGGTGGGGCATTTGTCCAAGACTTAATGATATACATGCGGGCATTATGTTGCTTGAATATTGCTGACTGGCATAAGTCAAAAGCGAAAAACATTTGCAGTTTCTGTCACTTCTAGGCTAGTCCAATGGATAGTGAGTTGTCCTATTATGCAAAGACCACAAGTTCGATTCCATACAAACCATCGTTATATGTAGGCAATTGTTTCCTTGCCGTGACAGATGCAAGTTTATGTGTTAGATATACGACTCTGCTGTAACTCTGCCTTGTCAAATGCTGGATATTTGTTTTCAGACTCTGCGGGTAGGATGGGAACAGCTTCTCACAGCCATCGCAAGAAACAGCAACGAGGTGGAGAACCAGGTGAGCTATAGCACACCACGAGACACAGGTGGTCCAGTTGTCTAAGGTGCTGCAATTTGATGTGCAGTGATTAGGCTTGCCAGAATCAAACAATTACGGGTTCAAATCTTTCACGAAAGTAATATATGTCTTGAACCTTCATCTCTTCAGTATTACTTCCACATTAGACTCACACACTATGATATAACTGAAAGACTGTTCAAGTAAAATCAGTATGACAGATGCTCGTAGGATAATCTCTCGGTCTGACCTAGTTGTCTATAGTGGAGGGTTGTGTCTGTTACTCATGCAAATTGTGCTGATTGTCGTTTTGATTCCCCGATTTGTCCCTAGTGTGATCCTTTCGCTGTTATCATCATTCTTGTGTACATTCTTGTTTCATACGAGGGGGGCAAGGGTGTCCCAGTCGTCTAAGGCGCCACGATTCGCTGTGCAGTGGTGCGTCCCTTGGGCACGCCAGAAACCTTTGATTGTGGGTTCGAATCCCGGTTCGCCCCAATTATGTTTCTAGGTTTGTCAGCACCATACCCGTGCTCGTGGGTTTCACCGAAGTGGTAAACGTCTGAGACATGCATCACTTCGAGCTTTCCTCCCACATTAAGCTGACACGCCGCGATATAACTGGAATACTGTTAAAAGCGGCGTTAAAACCAACTCACTCACTTTCCTACGACACTTAGGTGACACACTGTGATACACTTGAAATACTGTTCAACTTGGTGTTGAACCCATTTGATTCACTGCATTGTGCTGGTTCAGGTTAATGACATTGTACTGAAACTCTACTATGCAATTTTGCCATGTCACCGTGAAGTAAATGAAAGATGCATTTTACTGGTTGTGAAGTTCAAGGCAGTTTTAAATCTAATATTGATTTTATGTATTGAGTAATGGTTATTCCTGACCCAGAGACCATCTTAGATGATAAGAAATGAAGATGTGGGTTTTTTAATGTACACATTATTGAATTTATGGATTTGTGACTAGATAAGGGCATAAGACTAATTCTAAGATATTGATTTCTTTTCATTTTAGATCTTAACCCGCGATTCTAAGGGCATCAGCGCAGAACAGATGAACGAGTTCCGTGCCTCCTTTAACCACTTCGACAAGAGTCGTAACCGCCGCCTGGAGGCTAAGGAATTCAAGGCTTGCCTTGTCAGTCTGGGATACAACATCAGAGATGATAGACAGGTAGGATGCATGTCCTCACAGCAAGTTCAGCCTGAACTGCAAATTCTAGAGAAATGACAGAAAATTCCATGATGAAATCATGAGTTATTCCGCGAGTCGAAAGTAAGGGATCCCAGGGTCCTTGAGGTTTGGTACCATGGTATTTGAATCTAGGGACCCCTTAGCCTTCAGTTTTGACATCAGGGTGATGACAAGGATGTCTTGACTTTTATGGTAAATTTGAACACTTGATTCTGATGGATAAAAAATATATCTTTTCTATTAAAAGATAGAAACTTTGGAATAATTGGTAAAATAAAGCCCTTGTATTATTTGCATTTCATGCAGCTTGAATGATTCATGGATATTGCTGCTGTGTAAGGAATATATCAGTCCTCAAAACATACTTGTATCTTAAAACATGGTCTATGTAATTCCAGGGCGAGGCTGACTTCCAGAGGATAATGTCAATTGTTGATCCAAATGGAACGAAATTCGTCACCTTTGATGCCTTCCTAGACTTCATGACTCGTGAGACAGCAGACACAGATACTGCAGAGCAGGTCATGCAGTCCTTCAAGATCCTTGCAGGAGACAAGGTGAGTCTCTCAGTGCCACCAGTCACACGGACAAACCCCGTGTGGGTTGAGGGCCTCTGGTTACTTCATGCTAGTCAATATGTGTCCACTAAAATGGATCTTCTGGTCAGGTTCTGTGACTTGGCTGAGTGCATACCAGCCATTGGTTGGTCTGATCAAGATCCGGTTAGACAACAAGGTATCTGTTCACTATTTGATAATGATCGATCCAGCCTCTGCAAACAATTTATGAAGAGACCAAAACCTTCTCTGACTGAAATAAATACAGGAACTTCACTTTAAACAGAAAAGCATTCTTATCTCCACATTAAACCGACCTGTCCAAACAACTTTCTTATAATATGTTAGTAATAGTTGTAGTCTTTTCACCTGATGAAGGAGTAAGTATATACTCCGAGACATTGCATTCCGCATAATAAAGAAGTTGACATCCATAAATTCTCTTCCGTAGTAGTTAAATATTGATTTACAGAAATTTGTTTTTATTTTTATTTTCACCCAATTGGTTGTGATAAATCTGTAAACCATAAATATGAAGAGTACCTAAAGCTAACAACTGTTTTTTGTCTTCCAGCCGTACATCACTGCTCAGATCCTGCGCCAGGAGCTTCCCCCTGATCAAGCTGAATACTGTATTCAGCGTATGGCCCCCTACACCGGCCGTGATGCCGTGCCTGGCGCCCTCGACTACATGTCCTTCTCCACAGCCCTGTACGGAGAGAGCGACCTCTAGACACGTTGGTCAAGGCCAACCAGGGGACACTACTCTGAGTGTGCAGCATAGCCAGGCAGTGGTGTGCAGTTTAGCCCACCCTAATTTGTATGTGAGGAGTGTCTCTGTGTGATCAGTATCAATTATACTGTAGTTGCGACTAACGCCATCGTCCAACCGACCGACCGACCCTCTTCTGTTCTGCATGCTCCTGGTCACTGCTGTAGGCCCCGAACTGTAGTCTCCTACCGGAGCAAGTGAGCGTGGTCGCCAGTACGTAGCCAGTAATCATGGGACATAAACTTATCTACTTCACAAAGTAGTCCCCATGCCTTGGTCTATGCTGCATATTTGACAATGCTTCCTGGATGATACATGGCTTATATTTTTACAAAAAGCTGAAATTTTTACACATCACCTTGAATGCTATGCATACCCATCTGATATTTTTGTGAGCATGACTACTGAGGCAATATACAGGTTGAGATGGTGTAGAGGCTTTGTTTGGCGTTCTGTGAAGCAGCCGTGTCATGACGGTTCCGCTGTGTATGGTATTAATACCAACATAGACCTAGATCTAGCAAGTATTTTGTGAGTGTACGTACATAACACTGCCATGCCAGCGGGGGGAGGGGCAGGGAGGGTGGGGATGGGGGTGAGTATGTGTATAATAAGTCCATCATCACCATATGTACGGTTTGCTGTAAGAGTATTTTCAAGTTTCTGGTTTCCTGTTGGACAGATGATTTTATTGGCGGACTTGGCCTCCTGTCTGCCAGCCCATCACTTTGTGGGGATGTTGATGTAATATTTTAAACATGAGCTGTATCTAGTTACATAGATATTATTTAATGTTTGGTTGGCATACTGTGCTAAATGACTGATTTCTCACGTTGGGACTGAGAAGTGCTTATATCTGGTATGCGTGTATTTATCATAACCCTGCAGAGTAACCTCGAATACAGGTTCAGTGCATCTATCTGGACATAGCTTCTTGATGTATTCATAAGATTTATCAAATATAATTCATGTCTTTGTTTGCTCCTTCGTGATCTTCCAAGCATAACTCTCATAAAATGTGATTTAAAATATTTTCTTTATAGATACACTTTGTATAACACATTGCCACAAGCCATATATTTTAAAGATGCATTGTTGCATATAAGCTGGGCCATGTCATTAACAAGTATATTACTAATCTTTATACAGATTTGTACATTAATCTACTCACTGCAAGGTGTTTACGGTAATCAAAACATGAGTTTCAACCTTGATCTGTAGATTTTGATATTACACCATGAAACAGAAATCAAAATTTAGCACCCTGTGCTAAGACTGGTTTGAGTGGTCAGTGTAGTGTTTGGAAGGACTGCTGACCGCTGACCAGTGACATATCACCCCAGCTTGACATGTAGTCTCTTTCGCGCGCTACCTTCATGTCTACTGATTAGATACTGCCCAATAAAAGTCTTACCTCTTTACCACAACCAGACTCCTGTTGTTTGTTTTCTTGGAGCGACAGCAATGAAATATGCAACTGAACGAGAGACCAGGAGCATCATAAAATGGCGGAATGTTCTTTTTGGAGAAACTTTGAAGGATATATTCTGTAAAACAAGACAATGTAGAACCTGGAACGGATTTTCGTTTGAGCTGTGATATAACTGTAATCTTGTCCAAAGCTTAGTTGTTAAACTCGCCTCAATAAGTCACAAGTCTATCACGACCATTGAGGGGACCCCAGGAGAGCTTATGGCTTGCATGGCAAATTAAAAAAAAAATGGTTCATAGTTGTCGACCCAGAACTAATCTGGAAACAACTCTGAAAAGGACTTTCTTTGTTACAAACTTGTGTTCAGCTATAAAGAATTTTGCATTCCCTGCATGGGAAAGTTGGTACTGCTGCAGTACTTGCAAGCACAAAAAATACTTGCAAACACCTTGGAAGAGATATCTGCAAGCTTTTGGGGATGTTTCTTCGTCAACATATAGCAACATTGACCACCTCCGTGGTCCTTGGTGCTGGGCATTAAGGGGCTAAAACAAGGACTGGTTGTCTCTGAGTCCTGGACTGAGTCTGAGTGGGGGGTATTCATGTTAAGCTGCAGCATGGTATCTTTGTGGGCTTGCACTTTTCCATCGGCATTAATTTCACAATCACTTGCAGCATACATGCAGGTCGCTAAATGAGCACAATAACCTTGAACGCGTTAAACTCACTTCTGGTGGATAGGCCATCTACAGGGAAAAGGAACTTGTTACCGGGCCTGGCGCTCAGCATGAACGGGTTAAAAGGACTGGCTGGCTTGGACTCCGTATACATGTGTTGCTATACAGTTTCAATAACTTTGAACGGGATGTTAAATCTTACTTAACCGCAACATCCATGTTATGTACATGAAAGCAATATGATCTTTTTGACTTTGATAAATGAAGAAATAGGTAAGCTATGGTTGCAGTGGGCAATGCAATATTCCAGCTGTTTGAGGGTTTGGATGCTTGGAACAGTCCCTGATTCCTTATGTGTTGCCAGACGTGTGAAACAGACAAACTGTTTGTCAGGACCACATTATGTAATGTTTGAATGTAGAAACGTGCGCTGAAATCGTCATACATAATCTGCAGCTCAAAGATCAGGGTCAATCCCACCCTGGCTCTCCCATGTTCATTTATAGCCTGGGAAACAGCAGATGTTTCTCTTGTGTCTGGTCCAAGCTACAGGACCTCGCTGCTTGAATATTTCTAGATCAATTCCTGTCACGAGTGTCAGAAATGCGCGGTTCTATACACAAGGCCAGACACTCGCCTTGTATCGCTGTTTCCAAAGCAAAATCGCAAATCATGCACAAAAACTTGATATCTACCTATGTTTCTATTGAGCGTTTGGTGTAAGCAGACTAATAAGCATTTTGAGAGCGTATCTAATAGCCATTGATAATATTTGTGTTACTAAAATAACGATTTCATTGGAATAAAGTGCATGGGCAAAGGATTCCCTTTATATGCTGTTATATGATAGCGAAGGTGTAATGACGTTAAATGTCTAAAAATAACAGGGGGCGTGTAGATCAATATCTGGTGTGTTCACCATGTTGGGTGATACATACACCTCACCTTGAAGGATTACAGTTACATTAGTGATTTGGGATTCTGTGTGCACGTGCACCACGCGCTTTTCATGCTTCATGTGAAGCTCATTTCATTCAGATGCAAAGCCACGGCATTGTACACATACACCTCAACGATAGTAACATTCAAATCATTATTTCCCTTTTTTTGTGGTCAGTAGTATATTACAATGTGATTGATGTGATCGTTTCATCATATTGCTACCACATTGCTCACCAAGATGAAAGACAATACAAGAAAATATTACAAGTGAGTATTTATAACTTCGATGATATGTTCAGTCAGGGTCAATGCTGAAGGAGTGAGAAAATACATCATCATCTCGTACTAGCACCAATCATCCATCGTTCTCATGGGAATTCCAGGTTAACATTGGTCTAAAGGAACACATGCGACATAAAAGGCGACCTTATAAATCGAGTAGTCACGATGCTCATAATGATAATCACGGGTTAGTCTGGTCCAGACTTTAGCATTTACAGGGCGACGACCATATAGCTGGAATATTGTTGCGTGCGGGTTCAACAACAAACAAACAAAACAGAGATTTGAGATTAAGAGAAAGGTACTTCGTCGTTGTTTATAGCAACAGGGTATACTTTTCGTAAAATGTATACTTCTTAGGAATGTTCTACCTCAATTACATCATTGCCACAAATCCTGTTTTTTGACTGCAATCACACTATTTTCAGATTTTCTACAGAAGTCCTCTTCACTGTCAACTACGAAATATATATACAATATGTTGTTCCCGTAATAGCACTAAAAGCATACAGCTCTTCTGTGCGCAAAGGCGTGAAAATCATTCTTACCTGTGTGTGTTAGACTCAACACCCACTACTGATCCTTCACTATCACTTGGTTATGTAGTCACACTATTTCGAGAGTTGCGAGCTGTGCACCACCCTCTCCAAGAAGGCTTTCACGACGTTAGGGGACTCCATTACCAGAACTAAGAGAAAAGAAACGGCCAAGAAGAAAGTCGACGCCAGTATTCTCTACTGACATATCGACTGCTCCTACCACTGATCATCTCCAGACTCAGTTTCCAACTTCTCCTTCAGCATGCTGGAGCAAATTTGTGCTCAGCAGAAGACTTATATGGAATATTTATTTAATTCCGTCTCTCAGCTCTATCGTTAGGGGAAGAACAGCTGAAACAAGTGAGAGTGGACCAGGCTCAGAACAATCCTCTGGCCAAGAGCTCGCATGGAAAAATGTATCTGGTAGAGCCCCGCAGGGACCACACGGACTACCAGGCATCACCTGTTAAGGTGTTCTCCCGACCAGGGGGGCACGGGTGGCCCTGTCGTCTAAGGCGCCGCGATTCGCTGTGCAGAGTTGCGTCCCTTGGGCACGCCAGAAACCTATGATTGTGGGTTCGAATCCCGGTTCGCCCCGATTATGTTTCTAGGTTTGTCAGCACCATACCCGTGCCCGTGGTAAACGTCTGAGACCTGCATCACTTCGAGCTTTCCTCCCACATTAAGCTGACACGATGTGATATAACTGGAAAACTGTTAAAAGCGGCGTTAAACCCAACTCACTCAATCTCCCGACCACCGTACTGCGCATACACGGATTTGCCGCCTGTTAGGGATCAGCAAGACATCTGCACGTCAACGGCATGGTCTTCATGTCTTATTCGGATTGCGCCACACACTCACGGATACACCACACCACCATACCTCCCTCCTAGGCATCTCTCACATCCCAAGGACTCAGAATCAGCTTTTGTGGATGGATATTATCAATCGGGTGCTTCACCCTCGCAGGAATACGGATATTTATCACTTCATGCCTACGCTTCAACCCCAAACGGAACAACTTCCGCAAAAAAAATTCTTCGAACCGGAATATGCAGGTTGCCACGCTTCTTAACACGTACACCAGACGCTTCCATGGCCGAGTTATACATGCAAAGTCATCAACCAGGCCTAGGATACTCTTCAAAAGCTAAGACATCACGAAAGACTTCCCCTCCCAACATTAAAGAGGATGTTATACCCATAACCCATAACTCTTCATTCTCAGATTCTCAAGTTCTAGACGACTACTTCCTCAAGTTGGTCAAGAATCCGAATATGAAGCTTACCTTACCTGCTAGTCGAGTCAAGGATTTTTTAAAGGCCAACAGATATTCCAAGGATATAGAAGGATATAGATATCAATTGGTTTGTTGCTCGAATACATCATGCCATCCTTCCATTGCAAGCCTCTCATGACATTGTCCCGGAAATACTCTCTTCACAGATCAGGTCGGACCTATCAACAGTTTACTGGACACCATAGCCAGTCTGGATGTCGTCACAGCTTCTTTGGATGCAGCAACAACTCTCAGCGCAGATCAGATCCAAAGCAGTTTCCACTTAAGCTGAGATGGTGATCATACAGCCCATAATGGCTCCCAAGATATCTAATGATAAACTTATGAAGATTATTGAAGACGTCAAGCAAGATACGGCTGAACAGTTCCAGGAATCAACTTTACAATTTACAGCCAAGGCTCATGGATCATCGGTCCCTCCTATGCGTCAAAGAGAACACTCGCAGGACACAACCTACCAGGAAGAAAGAGAAGGGAGAGAAGGAATCATTTCAGTCTCTCTCAGAAATGACAATTCACAGCACCCTCCTGAATCATTTTCCTCAGACAGACTACAAACGACGCGGATCCAGTCGAAGAGGTTCAGGGGACAGCAGATGACTCTACCCGCACTCCTCTTACAGTCACATATCCTAATTACTTTTTTTTTCTACGGACCTCGATCTACATCTACCGCATTTCAACGTAATGTCGACTCATGGGAGTGCATCGTTGTCATACGCCATACAAAAGGAAGCAAATTACGACCAACCACTGGAGTCTAGATGTCACTTCCCAAGGATACAAGTTGCTCTCCAGGACTCATCCACTCCTTGAATCCCAACTTATAGATCCCAGATTCCATCTGGAAGGACCCAAGTTAGAGGCAGCCAATCTCGCCATCAAGACCTTACTAGAAAAAATGGTCATTCGGACTACATCAATAGTCACAGATACCAACAACAGCAAAGGGTTCTACTCTTCAGTATTCTTAGTCCCGAAGAAGAACTCCACGGACATGATGTATGATCATCCATTTCAGGGTTCACCAGGATAACGGTTCCCATAATTATTTTTCCCATCTGCAGCTGGTTTGTCTTCATGGGTACTTGGACAATTTCCTAGCGGCCGATGAAGACAGATCCCAACTACATCAGAACATGATCTACCTTACCTGACTAGAACCTATCTCGTTTCCTGCTTCATCCAAATTGGAAAGGTTGCCAGTGCAGGTACAGTACATTGTTCGATATGCACTGGATATATCTGTCC